TCTGTCAAATGCTTTTTTCTGCATCTATTGATATGATCACGTGGTATTTCTTTTTTTAGTCTGTTGAAATGATACGTTACATTATTTGCTTTTCAAATGTTTAAATCTAAATCTGGCATAAATCTAATTGGATCATGATGTATAATTCTTTTTATACTTTTTTGGATTCAATCTGCTAATATTTGGTTGATGATTTTTGCATCTATGTTCGTGAGAGGTACTGGTCTGTAGTTTTCTTTTCTTGTAATATATTTTTCTGATTTTAGTATAAGAATAATGCTGGCATCACAGATGAGTTAGGAAGTATTCCCTCTTCTTTTATACTCTAAAAGAGACTGTAGAGAATTAGTTAAATTTCTTCGTTAAATGTTTGGTAGAATTCACCAGTGACCCATCTGGGCCTGGCATTTTCTGTTTTTAGAAGGTTATTAGTTATTGATCAATATCTTTAATAGATATAGGTCAAATTTTGTCTTTAAAAAAAGAAACTTAGGACTTCCCTGGTGGCGCAGTGGTTGAGAGTCCGCCTGCCGATGCAGGGGACACGAGTTCGTGCCCCGGTCTGGGAAGATCCCACGTGCCGCGGAGCGGCTGGGCCCGTGAGCCAGGGCCGCTGAGCCTGCGCGTCCAGAGCCTGTGCTCCGCAATGGGAGAGGCCACAACAGTGAGAGGACCACGTACCGCAAAAATAAATAAATAAATAAAATAAAATAAAAAGAAATTTAAATGTTAACTTGTAGAAAATTGCTAAGATGCTAATATTTTTGTCTAATAGAGATACAAATAACTTTTGTCCTTTACAGATGAAAATGATTTCTGCTCTGTAGAGAAGATAACACAAAAAGTTATAGTTTACTGCTCTGCAGGACATTAATCAGATTTATATCTAATTTATCAATAATTTAGAATGATTTCAGTATTCTTTTGTTCTTACACTGATATATATAAAACATTATTTCCCATATCTTTCTTGGAACCAGTTTTGTTTCCTGCTGCTTCCTTAATAATGAGTTAAAAACTTGACTTACATTTACTTTATATTTGTATAAGAACTTTTTCAAACATTTTGAAATTATACTTTTGACATTTTATAGGAATACAGCTTGGCCAAATGTTTTAAATTCTATGTCTAAGAATTGATCCTAAGGAAATAAGTCTGTGCTCAAAAATTTAGCTCTAAGACTATTTACTGTGTATAACAGTGAAATACCAGAAACAAATGTACAACATTAGGGGACTAATTAATACCTAAATTTGTTTTAAGATGGTTGTTTCTGGGTAAATGGAATTTGTAGATTTAAAAAATTTCTTTTACCTTGTTCATATTTTCTTGTGACACTTTTAGAAGAAGGAAAAAGCAAGCTGGAAGATCACAAAGTCTAGTTTCATTGGTCTTCCCATTTTTGCTGACATCTATTGAGGTATTTAGCCCTTGACCTTAGTCCTCCCCTCTGCTCCAATTCCTACCACTATCTCAGGGAACTTCAGAGTTCTGTCCTTTGACAGAATCATCTACCCACGCTAGTTTCAAATTCCTTAATATCCCATTTCCAATGACCTTCACTTCTGTAATTCACTCCACAGAAATTGTAGATCCCATCTTCATTTAGAACTGTTTACCTCTGACACTTCTGTGCTTTTCACTCTGTTTTGATTTTAGATGAAAATGCCTTCATTGTTCTTCCGACTAAAAGTAACACACGTTTAACTGCAAATTTTTTCAGAAAATACCGAAAGATTTAAAAAAGAAAAATCAAAACCTGGCAAATTAGAGCTGACCACTCAGCATTCTGTAACCCTTAAAACTTTTCGCTAGGAATAGTTTTTTGTTTGTTTGCTTTTCAAAATGGGAATTTACTATTCATTTTACTTTTACAATCTGCTTTTTGCCACTCAATGACTTATTTTTTCAGGCCAATAAATACACACCTATATCATCATCAATGTGGCTGAAAATATTTTATTGTATGGCTATAATATTCTTTATCTGACCCAAGGTGTCTCAACCTCAGCACCAAAATTTGGGGCTGGATAATTCTTTGTTGTGGGAGGCTATGTTGTCATTGGAGGATGTTTAGCATCCCTGCCCTCTACCCACTAGATGCCAGTAGCACTGTCCTCCCTGCCCCCCACCCCTACACACCAGTCATGACAATCAAAAATATTTCCACCTATTCCCAAATGTCTTCTTTGGGCAATGTTAACGCCCAGTTGAGAACCACTGATATAATCAACCTGCTATTGTTTATCTACTTTGTCACAATTAAAAACAGTGGTGCTTATAAAGATCCTAACATATAAACTCAGCACTTCTCCAAATTACTTCTATAGCTTAAGTTTTTATCAAGAAAGAGCGTATTTAAAACTTTGATGTCTATTCCCCAGATTTCCTCCAGAAAGGTGTATCAGTTTATAATACCATTAAAATAGCAGAAATGTCATTTCCCCAGATCTTGTTCATTTCTAGGTATTATCAATCTTTTTAATCTTTCTTGGTGGTAAGCAAAACAAAATATTACTTTCCCCTTTTAATGTGTAATTCTTTGATTGCTAACCAGGTCAGTAACTTTTACTATGTTTATTGACCATTTGTATTACTGCTTTTATGAACCACCTATTAATGGCCTTGCCCATTCTTGATTTTATAAGAGCTATTAATTCTTCCAGTTTGCAATTTTTTAGGTAAATTTTATGCTGAGTTTTCCTTATAGAAGGTATATATTTTTATGATGTTAAGTTATCTGCCTTTTTATTATGTTTTTACCTTTAGTGGTGTCGTGCTTAGAAAGATCACCTCTGAAGTCTTAAACTTTAGTGTTTTAGTCTATTAGGCCAACGTTTTATTCCTCCATGTCTTTCACACTCTAACACTAAACTTCTTTGACCTCTAGACCATTGCAAATAAAATTTGAACGTACATAGGACTGGAAATCTTATTAAAATGCATGTTCTGATTCAGTAGGTTTGGTGTGAGACAAGGGACTCTGCATTTCCAGCAAGCTCCCAAGTGATGCCAATGCTAGTCCTGGACCACACTTTGAGTGGCTAGGTTCTGGACCTTCAGCCCTCAAACCCCAGGAGATTGGCTCTCTCTTGAATTTGCTTCCATTCCTTACCTAGTGTGAACCCCAAGGGCAGTAATTTCAACTATACCTCACCCCTTTGTTTATCTGGAATAAGAACCCTGGCGACCTCCATCCCAGTATTGACCAAGCCACCATCTTCTCCAGGCTCCAGCCACAGCATCACTAAAGGAAATCTCAAAACTGCCACTTGCTTCTGTAACAAATGTTTGATTTCTAAAGTCAGATCAGAAATCCTTCACTTTGTTCCTTGACAGTTCCCTTTCCCATTCCTTAGAGTAACTTTGCCTAAATTTAATCTCCTTGACCCTATTCCACCTCCTTGCAGGCCTCCAGTCAATGAACGACAATGAAAGAACTTCTTCAAACCATCTGGTAAAAATCACAGTTAGCATAGCAACTGCTGCATACTTTTTCTTTTAATCCACTCAAAAACCCAACACCATTGTATTAAGATTTTCCAACTCTTAGAGAAATCTGTTTAGATTTATGAATTAAACTGGTTATTTACTTAATAGATACCTCCCAGAGTTCTCACAATATGCCTGCCAACCTTATTTAGGTAAGCACAATTATCATTTCCATCTTACCGACTAGGAAACTAAGGCACAGAGAGTTGACACAACCACTGAGTGTCAGAGAAAGGACAGGGACCCATATCATGTGATGCTATAATCATAGCTCAAACTTCTTTACTCCGCTACCCAGGAATCACAGGGGGCCTCAGGTTCCAAACTGCTCAATTCTACAGTAGTATCTGTATCACAAACAAAGAAGAGGCAGGATGAAAAGTAACCTTTAAACATTGTATAAAACAATAACTTATTTAACAACAAAAAAAGAGACGCGTTCACTAGCGGTTCTCAGCTCTTGAGGGCACGTTCCATTCACATTCCTGGGCCTCAGAAGTTTTGTTCAACCTATCTGGGGTGGGGCCCTGGCATTACTGTTTTTAATCTGTTAAAGGGGAATGTTATCCCAAATCAGTGCTTTTCAAACGTTTTACATTCAGTGGACCCGTGGCACAAGCCTCCCGTTACTCTGATAGGTAATGTGTGACAGGTGTGCGCAGTCTTTGCCCGTCCCACACACCCTCTGGGTTTCGGCAAAGTCCTTGCTATTTCTAGTGCAAACACAGATCACCCCATCCTTCCAGAAAGAAGCATTTTAGGTAGAGATAACTGAAACTGGCCTAGGCAGTGTTAGTGGCGGCAGCGTTGACTTTACAGTGATGCCTCTGATGCCTTCTTCCATGTGGTTTCCAGATTGCCGGTCTTCAATGTAACGCTGATTTAGTCAAATCTCATACACTATAAATATTTGTCGGAAAATTTCCTGGACTCCACACGACGGCATTTAAAACTTCTACACGCACGTTCTGAAATGCCACGCGACTGCAGAGCAGGGTTGGGCCGCCTGGCGCAGCTGGGAGTGCGGCCCTGGCGACTCGGGTCGGCGCCGAAGAGCAAAGAAGCCCGCTCGGGGCTGCGGGCGCCCGGGACTCGCGGCGCCTCGTGGGGCTCCAGGTGAGCCCAATACGCGCCGGCCCGCACCACCCAACTCGAAAAGCCGTCCAAGCCTTTAGCGTCTCCAAGCTCGCTGCAGCTGGAGACACCTCGTGCCCCTTTGGTGGAGCGCCCCGGACCCCTTCAGCGGACGAAGCCGTGGCCGGGGTGAGCGCACTGCCAACCTGGGGCGCCGGCAAAAACTGGGGCCGCGCGAGGTAACTTGGTTTCGGGAAGCTCGCCGCCGCGCCCAGGGACCTCGAAGGAGGCAGAGGAGCCCGGACCGCCCGGCTCGGCCCCGCCCCGGAGTGCTCCTCGCGGCGCCTGAGTGGGCCGGAGAGACGTCAGTCAGGCGTCGTGGGTGGGACCCTGGCCGGGCTATTAATACTGGGTCCCGTCTGGTGGCAGCCGCCGGGCGGCGGTGCGCGCCTGGGCTCGGGGTGAGGAGCGGGACGCGGTGGCGGGGTGGGGGGGTCGGGCGCAGCTGCTGCAGCTGTCGGGCGGCGGAGAGCGGCCGAGACGTGGGGAGGAGGAGAGGGTGGGAGGCGGGATGGAGGGCACCCGTGTTCCGGGTGCGCTAACTCCCGAAGCTGTTGCTTCCAACTTTTACCTCCTTCGGAAGCTGGAAGTGTTAGTGCCGGGAGATCTGAGACTAGACAGCGGAGCCGAAGCGAGTAACGTGCACACTCCCCACTACCCCCTTCCTCACCTGCTCAGCTTTATTATTGTTTTTATTCATCTCTAGACCATGGACTGCGCCCGCCTCTGGCTAGGGCTGTTGCTGCCTGTGGTAGCTGCGCTGGACTTCAGCTACCACCACCAGCCAGAGATGGAAGCGTTCCTGAAGAGTATTTCCCAAAACTACAGTTCTATCACTCACTTACACAGTATCGGGGAATCTGTGGAAGGTAGGGTCCGTTTCGTGTACTTTCCCAAACCCCTAGTCCTCAGTTTCATTCATTAAATATGCCTTAGCCTCCTGTCCCCTCTCCATGAAGCGACTCAGAGGGTCTCGAGCGGTTCCATCCCTGCCTTGCGTGTTGGTTGTTTCTGCTTTTGTGTGTTGTGTTGCTTTTTGTCAAGGGAGTAGTAAGACCTGAATTTTACTAAACGTCTCCGCTGTCGTTCGGTGTTGAGTGCTTTGCGTTAATGGCGTTCTGTTTTGGGATCTTGCAGACAGTGATTTCCTGGGATGAGTACTTTAGGTTTTAGTTTTCTACATGAACTTCTGCCAAGGAAGTCTGTTTACCCATCTCAGGTTTGTTTCCCTTTTTGATGGCTTCTTTAAATATGACTCGGACTGTTAGGATCGTGTCTTCAAGCCTCTTTTAAACTAAAACAGGGCAGTTCTGTTGGTGAGATTTCTATGTCACGTATAATTAGCCCTATGGCTTAAAGTTATGCAAAAAAGTGGCTTTGGTACTGATTAAAAGGCTATTTTAAACGTTATCCATTTGAATGAGACAATTGCTGGGTAATAAGTGTACCACAGCAGTGATTGGTATTGCTCTTAGTATTTTCGAGTTCATTATTAATTACTTTGTTTTAATTTAGAAACCATATATTAAGTATAAATATACAACTATATATTAATTCTAATTTTAGTAGATAGGAAAATTGAATCATAGTGAAATTAAGTATTTTGCCCTAGAACACTCAGATCTTGAGTGAGTTTTATAACCAGGATTGGCACTCAGCTGATTCTACTTTAAGGCTTAGCCGTTTTGGGACAAGGCAAATAATTTTACCAGATATTATTATTTCTCAATCTTTTATTATATTGGTACCTCCCCAAAGAGATTAGCAAATAACTTAATGCTTAAATTATAAGTTTTGTCAAGTGTATGTAATTTGGATGTCAGCTCTTTATAAGGTGTATTTCAACCCCGTGTGAATTTTAGCTCTGAGTTTTCAACCAATTTGTGAGTCTCTTAATTACCATATTCTTAAGTAATCGTTTTCCAAACAATTAAGGCCATGGTTTTTATATTTTAAAAGTATTACATAAATTTGTTTATGTGCAATGCAACATAAAAATTCTTGGCTTATGTGTGTAATGGCATTTTTGTTTTTAAACAACGTTGCTAAGGAGTTGGAGCCAGAATTACTCTATATTTTGCTGTATCATCCAAACTTATAGAGGTTGGATGTGTGAGAAAGCGTATCTTGAATCAGCACATGTATTCAGCCTTTTGAAATCATTTTCCCCTAGGGCTAGAGAAGAGCAATTTTAAAAGATCTAAGAATACTAATTACATTAATAAAGGAAATATAGAACACAACTAACTTGAGTTATTGTTCAGTCATTTAACCCACAAGGTGATGCCAGTGTTGTTAATTTTAAGTACTAAATGATTTGGTTTTTATTTTTTTCAAGCACAAAGTGCTTGTGACGGGACTCTCAATGTCAACCAGCTATTTTGATCTACCCTGCGTGCTGTCAGACCACGGTAATAATGAAAGGCAGCAGGCTTAATTGTTTTTACCTGGTGTGCACTATTTTGGTTAAAGGACTGAGGAATTACCGTGTAAAAAATAAAATCTGACACTAGTTTAGGTCAAATATTTGTATTGAGTATGTTCTGAATAATTACTCCGGTTAAGAAAAATCCCAAATCTGCTATCAGGTTCTGAGTAGTAGGTTAAACTGCACGCTAGTAACTGGGAGTCGGTTGCCAAGCATATTTGTTGGTACTCTTTTCACTAGATGCACAGTTTCCCCTGGCCACCCTACCCTCTGATGTAAGATAGCTTGCTTAGCAAACAAGATTTACCATATGTGTTATTTATTTTTCTTTGTTATTGTGAATGTGGGCAACATACCTAGAAGGGAAAGTAATCTTCCTACCTCGCCAAATACATTTTTAGTTTTTGTAGATGCATATCACGTGTATTTTCATTACTGTAATCATGGATTCTCTTCTGCTTTTTTCCCCCAGTTCACATTATTTCATTACGTATTTCCATGAATTGAAAGGTCTGCGGGTGTGAGTTTATTGCTATATAGTCTTTTCTCCTCGATTATGTGAATTTCTTAGTCATTCACCTCTTTGCGGCATCTATATAGCTTCTGGTGGCCTCTGTTATAAACAGTGATGCTAAAAAAACATTGATACATGTCACGATTAATGGCCTTCTATTATAATTGGTTTTTTTCCAGTTTTTAATTTTGAAATGTTTGAAACCTACCCCAAAGCTGAGTACATATATACACTTCACCTAGATTCTGCCATAGTAGACAGACCATATTTCAGTTGAGCCTTCTAGAGGAAATCCCACTACCTAATATCAGAGTAAAGAAAATCTTAGGTAAAACAACAGAAGCAACTATAAAACAAAAAGAACAGACAGCTGAGTTGAGAAAAATCAGAAAATGTACAACGTTCATTGATTCATTCCTTCATTCAGTTAAGGGAACACCTCTCCTATCCTTTTTTTTTTTTTTAATTACTCCTAAGCCCCTTTGTCTAGCATGTTCCTGGCGCGTATTCAGTGATTTTTATCTGTTTGTTTAGTGGCTTGACTATTTACTGAGGGATAGCTATGTGAAGCAAGCAAAAAGTTGTGCCATTTGTGCCCTGCTGTCAGGTAGCCCCCTTTAAAATACAAATGTATTTATTATAGATTCCCCAGCTATTCTCTCCACATCCCCCCAAATTAGTTCTAGGACCACTTTAAATGAGATTTCCTACATCTCTTTTCTAAGAATCTTGTCTTTCCTCCTGCTAAGTCTAACCTTGATCTGAATAAGGAAGGTTGCAAAGAGCAAGGGTTAGATAATAAAATCTGTTCTAAAGTGCTTTCCATGTATTTGGTGTTGTAATACATTATTTCAATCTCAACAACTCAAATAGGCCTTATACTCATTTACAGAAAGGATCCAATGAGGCACAGAGAAGTTAATTAACTTGCTGAAGATCACACAGCTGATAAGTGTTAGAGGGAGGCTTCAAACTCAGATCCACCTTCTCTGAAGCACATCTCTTTCTCATTAAGGAAGTGGTTTGACACAGATGTGGCTGGTCACATGAAGACTGAGGTAGTTACTGGAGGGTTTCAGAGTCACGTTTTGGGCACGCTGGATCTGAAAGTAAAGCTTCTACCAAGGATCCAACACAGTAGCCAGTAGCCACTTGTTTACTGAGCAGCTGAAATGTGACTAGACCAAATTAAGGTGTGCTAAAAGTGACATTGAAGATTTCATACAAAAAAGTAAAATAGTCCATTAATATTTTTATATTGATTCCATGTTGAAGTGGTAATATTTTAGATATCAAGGCTAAATAAGAAACATTTAAAAAAAACTTCACCTGTTTCTTTTTACTTTTGTTAATATGGTTGTGGTTTCTAAAACATTTTAAATTACATATATGACTTGCACTATATTTTGATTGGGCTGTGTTGATCTAGACAGAAATTGGTTATTAGCAATTTTCTTTTTCTGAGTACAAAAGGAACTCAAGTTCATTCAGAAAATTGGGAAGATACAACAAAGCACCAAGGAGAAAAATAAAATCTCACCGTCCAAAGCAAACACTTAGTAGACCTGAAAGACTACATGCCCTGATTTGTGCCTTTCTCCCCTCCCACTGAGCCAAATACCTTGCTTGCCCCTGCAAACATGTTATTTCTAAGACCTGAGTTTTAATGCCTGCTTTTCGTCCTATCAATGGATATACTATTGTTTATTTAACTTAGACTCCACTGACATTTAGTTTTTCTAAATTTTCCTGTTATTAAAAAAAAAATGTGCCATAGTGGACACCTTTGTAGCTAAGACAGCAAAAGTTGTCAGAGCACACGCAGGCTTTGGAACTACAAGGCCCAAGTTCAAATTCTACATCCTCTACTTTGTAGCAGTGTGACACTGGGTGGTTAGAATAATTCCTGGCACATAATAAGTACTACATAGGAGTTGCTGTTAAGGATACATTACCTGCTATTGGGGATATATTTCCAAAAAGGAAATTACCAGGTCTTAAAGCAGTTCTATGTATTTGATACATGTAACCAAATAGATTTCCAAAAGGAGTATTGATTGATGATCTCAAGAAATGTATGCTTACCTCTTATCTTTTTTATTTTTTTTCCTGCGGTACGCGGGCCTCTCACTGTTGTGGCCTCTCCCGTTGTGGAGCACAGGCCCCGGATGCGCAGGCTCAGCGGCCATGGCTCACGGGCCCAGCCGCTCCGCGGCATGTGGGATCTTCCCGTACCGGGGCACGAACCTGTGTCCCCTGTATCGGCAGGCGGACTCTCAACCCCTGCGCCACCAGGGAAGCCCTTACCTCTTCTCTTATACCAGTCATAAATCAGGCATTCCTGGTTTGAAAGATTACTGTAGTATTTGTCAAAGGGTACAAAGTTTTGGTCATACAGGATGAATATGTCCTAGAGATCTACTGCACAGCAGAGTGCTTATAGTTAACAATATTGCTTACTTTAAAATTTGCTATGAGGGTAGATGTTATGCTAAGTGTTATAGTGATGATGATGATGAAAGATTACTGTAGCATAAAGTTTTCGTTGTTGTGTTTAAAGTATAAAGAAGAATTTATTTCCCCTGCATTTTCCCCCAAGGATTCTCACCTTCACGTATGCATTCAACAGATATTTATTGAATTCCTCCGCCAGGAGTCGTCATAACATTGCAGATACTCAAAAATCTCGCTAGAATTGGCTTAAGACTCGTGCCCCAAAGAGGCATGTACTGTGCTCATGTACACAGACCTCTCATTGCCTACTCCCCTTGCCTGGGTAGAATGTGGCTGGCGATTTACCCTCTGAAAAGGACACTTGATACGAGATTTTGCCACAGCATTCGATTTTCTGTCACCCTATTCATTTCTCAGGTGTGATCGGCAAGCCAGTTTGCTTGAGATCCTGTATAAAATGCTTTCTGTGATGT